TGAAATGCCTCTGATATCTTAATTGTCTTATTTTGACTATTCAAGTGATAATCTGCAAGCTGTATTAAAAGCCTTTTAATCATGTACTTTCTCTTGTGTGTGCCCTTGATCTTAAATATGTAGAAATAAGAGGAGCATGAAGCTATTGCAGTCTAGATTTACCAGTTCAAGCAATTTATGGCTCTTGTGTATCTTATGTTTCATTTGGGACGGTTTTTTTAATGTTTCTTAGAATAAATTTTTATTTTTTACTAAAAAATTGATTTAAGAAGCAATAAGAAAGCCGTCTCAAATGAAGCCTAAATCATCCTTCCAACATAGTTAAAATTCAAGAGCAACTTACTCCTACTTGAACAAAAATAATGCTTTAAAAAAAATTAAGAAAGCTATCACAAACGACCCCTTAAGCTTTATTTGGGACAACTTTCTTACTACTTCTTAAAGCAGCTTTTTAGTTTAAAAATTAAAATTTTAAAACTAGAAAGCAACTTTAAGAAGTAATAAGAAAGTCGTCCCAAGACTCTGCTTCTTAAAACGGCTTTCTAATACGAAAATTTCAAATTCAATAAATTTTTATACTAGAAAATTATTTTAGAAAACAAGAAGGAATCCGTCCCAAACGAAGCCTTAATCTTATATTAGATAATTGAAAAATCTACTAGTTAAAAAATGCTAAACAATTGACCCTCATTTATGGATTGAAGTTTTTGTATTAATAATTGAACAAAAATGTGGCCTTGTAAGTTTTGAGTATTAAGAACCAAACCTACCCACTTAAAGGATCACAGGAATGTGAAGGAAATTAATACAACTAATTTTCAATTTAATTATGAACAAAAAACTATTGATCTGAAATTAAGCTCCTTTTCATTTCACATGTTTCCAACATCAAATAAATAGTGTGATCATTATCTAGGGAACACTTTATTTCTATCTTCTTCTTTTTTCAGCCAAACATATGAAGGGATTCAATTTAGTGATAATCTGTATTAAAAACCTTTTAATCATGTACTTTCTCTTGTGTGTGCCCTTGATCTTAAATATGTAGAAATAAGAGGAGCATGAAGCTATTGCAGTCTAGATTTACCAGTTCAAGCAATTTATGGCTCTTGTGTATCTTATGTTTCATTTGGGACGGTTTTTTTATTGCTTCTTAGAATATATTTTTATTTCTGTACTAAAAATTGATTTAAGAAGCAATAAGAAAGCCGTCTCAAATCAGGCCTTTTATTTTTGCGTATTATTCTAAAGACGTAAATGAAGCCTAAATCATCCTTTCAACATAGTTAAAATTCAAGAGCAACTTACTCCTACTTGAACAAAAATAATGCTTTAAAAAAATTAAGAAAGCTATCCCAAACGACGCCTTAAGTTTTGTTTGAGACAGCTTTCTTACTACTTAAAGCGACTTTCTAGTTTAAAAGTTAAAATTTTAATATTAGAAAGCAACTTTAAGAAGCAATAAGAAAGTCGTCCCAATGCTGCTTTTTAAAACGGCTTTTTAATACGAAAATTTCAAATTCAAGAAATTTTTATATTAGAAAATTATTTTAGAAAACAAGAAGAAATCCATCCCAAACGAAGCTTTAGGCTTTGTTTGGGACGGCTTTTTTATTGCTTTCTAAAACGGAGTTTTAGTACAAATTTTTTTAATTTTGTACTAAAACTCCATTTTATAAAGCAATAAAAAAAGCTGTCCCAAACGAAGCCTTAATCTTATATTAGATAATTGAAGAATCTACTAATTAAAAAATGCTAAACAATTGACTCTCATTTATGGATTGAAGTTTTTGTATAAATAATTGAACAAAAATGTGGCCTTGTAAGTTTGCAGTATTAAGAACCAAACCTACCCACTTAAAGGATCAGAGGAATGTGAAGGAAATTAATACAACTAATTTTCAAGATAATTATGAACAAAAAACTATTGATCTGAAATTAAACTTACTTTTTCATTTCACATGTTTCCTATTAGAACATAATAAATAAATATATGTGTTATTTCTTATATACACGTGGCATCATCTTATTTGTAATAAGCTTTACAATTTCTCTATATATACGAGATGTATAGGACAAGCAGAATAATAATAAAGATTTACTTTCTTCCTTATTCCTTTCTCTGTCACCGAAAGAGTTTCATTCGGACATTGAGTTTCTACATGGTATCAGAGACCTAGGATCTCCGATCAAGAACTCATGACGAACACAACTGGATCTCAGCTCAGCGAAAGCTCGTCGGCGGAAGGATCTCAGCCACATCATCTCTCCGCCTCTCTCAAATTCATAGTCGCGAACATCATCAAGATTGTTCCAAATCAACTGACGCAAGACAACTATTCGGTTTGGTGTTCTCAGAACTTGAAAATTTTTCGAGCAAACGCATTTGATCAATTTATTGATCCGTCCATCTCTTCCCCCTCTCAAACCATTTCTCATTCGGATGGATCTACTCATCCGAATGATCTGTTTCAACAATGGCATCTCACGGATCAGCATCTAGCTGCATCCCTATGCTCTACCATTTCATCTACTATTATCCCTTATGTTGTGTACCTTGAATCCACGACAGATATTTGGATCTTGTTCCAAAATCGGTTTCAAGCAACCAACAATTCTAAAGTTATCCAACTTAAAAATACCCTTCACAACATTTCTTTGAAAATGGTGACGATGTCCCAATATCTCAGTGAACATCAAATAAATAGTGCCATCATTATATAGGGAACACTTTATTTCTATCTTCTTATTTTTTCAGCCAAACATATGAAGGGATTCAATTCAATTATTTCTTATTCTATCACACATTCAATCCCGTTGTGGGGATGAGGGTATGGTATAAATAAGTCAAGTCGAACTCGAGTTCCTTCTAGCTAGAGTTTGAACTTGATTAATTAATCAAGTTCAAGCTTGAATTCGAAAGAGAGAAAAAATTATTATTCAAACAATTATTATAATAAATGATAAAAAAGATTGAAAAAATATAAGTAAAATAACAAAGAAAGTGAGATATAGATTTTAAACATTTATAATGATATTGTTCTTAAATTCATGAATGCTGATATATTTTATATTAATATATTTTAAATGAGCTGATTGGTGAGCTAAAGGGTCAAGTCAAGACTAGCTCAAATTTGACTCATTAGCTCTTCGAGCTCATCTCATGAGCAATTTATAGAATCAAGTTCGAGTCTAACTTAACTCTAGATGAAGGTATATCATATATATTTGTATTTAATTAATTTTTATATTATATTTATTTCAAAATAAATAAATAAAATTTTTGAGACTTTTAGATCAATCAAGTTAAACTCATATACATTACATTACATATATAAGACTATAATATAAAATTATTGAATTGATAGATTTTTTTTTTTTTTGGACATTTAGGCCATTTAAGGCAAACTCATACACACAACGCATACACAGAGACTCGAACCTTAGACCTCTTAGTTTGAAGCCTTAGCTCTCAACCAATAGGCCAAGGAGAGTTGTGTTGAATTGATAGATCAAATTGAGTTGCTTGAGAGCAAAAATTTTCATTAATGGAAAATTTATCGATTGTTTTCCAGTGCAATAACAGAAACACGCACAGCAAACACGGACCACCCACGTGACTGGAAACAGGTAACGGCGATGGCGACTGGCTAGTGTCGGTGGCCAGATTCCCACATTGCAGAACACTGGAAGTCTGGATCTTCAAACACGTGGCATCATTTATCAAAAAACAGGCCGTCTTGTTTTTTATATTATTAACACGTTACGAATTTACGATGGTACCTGGAGGAAAGGCCCCGTCATGCTCTTTTAGCTTCTCGCTCTTCTTGAGTTCACGATGGCCCTCTCAGATATTGCGGTTACTGCGCTATATGATAATGTTCAAGTACAATCCTTCCCAACTACCATTGTAATGGGATTCTGCGATTAGTTGGAGCTTCCTTAAAATTTTTATATGGATGTCCAAAATTTATTTAAAATATTTTATGAATCTCAAAGGATGGAGAGATTATTCTGTCCGGAAATCTGATGGGAGAATTGTCCGGTACTGTTTGGTACCGAGCGCGGCACCGAGAGGTATCGGCGGTCTGTACGGAGTGTGGTACACTTTTGGGGTGCCGTGACGTATTTTTATTAGTCTCTGGACGATGTCTGGACTCCGCACAGAATAGTTTGTCCAAAGGATAGTTGAGTTAGTTTTGTTAGCTGAATAACCTGCCGAATAAGCATAGAGTAGGAGAATTTTTTATGTTCGAAGACTGGACGGAGAATGTCATTTGTAGATCAACTAAAAAATATCATGTCAGCGATATCGAGCCACAGTATCAAGCATAGAGGTGATGTGACACATTCTGGTTGGTCTTCGGATGTCGTTCAAACTCTTTGATTTTACACTAAAATTAGAGCAATTCATGATATTATATACAATAATAACCTCAAAGCAAATTATAAACTTTGAAGCCAGCTTATTAAATTGTTTACAACCGAATGCGGTTTTTGACATCACAGGTTGAGTGGCGGAGGGAGGAATGTGAAAGGTTGGAGAAGGATGATCGGAGACCAAATATGGTGGGATTCATCCCAATGCCTCTATTGCGTTGGAGAAGGATGATCAGAAGGCTGATTGTGAGAGGAAATTACTGTTTCAAGATTCATCTGAGGAGGTTGATCAGAGAAGTGAGGGAAATGACTGGTATGGATTTGGAGCTTGTTTGTTCGACTGTTTTGGCGGAGGTGAACCCGAAATTTTCGTGTTTGATTCAGGTCAAGTTTTCGGGTCATGTAAAATATTGACACCCCTAAATAGAAGCATATTCCTCCCTTGGATCTAGCGCTCAAATCCCATAAACTGCTCGAAAAAAGAAAAATCTGTATTTATTTGTATTCATTCACATAATCCCAAACATTCAAATACAATGAATTCCTTTTGCATAATATTTTATTTTACTTCAATTACTTGTTTATCCAACTAAATGGCCCTTAATAAACTTACTAGTAACTTCCGCTTAAAATCTGATTAAATAATTGCACATGCAAGCGCCGAAAATAAAAGCTTTAATTGGATGGGCGGGACCCACGACGCCTGGAGTAAATAATTGATTTCTCCTTCGGCCTCGTGGACCTGGTCTCTCTCTCTGGTTACTCGAGCAGTTCTGTAAACCTTTCCTGCACTTGCCTGCTGCTACGACGCTGACCCCTATCCACCTCCAAAACCCTCCGCTTTGCACAGATCGAACACCTTCTCGTCCTCCTCCACGCTTTAAGCCGGTCGCCTTCTACAATGAGAACCGTATTCCAGCCACCTCTCCCCCTGATAATTCTGATCCTGTGCATGTACATTACGCCGATCTGCAGCTTCAACATCACTAAGATCCTAGCGCAACACCCGGAATTCTCGACGTTCAACCACTATCTTTCCGCCACTCACCTGGCTGGCGAGATCAACCGACGAAAAACGATCACAGTCCTCGCAATTTCCAACTCTGGAATGGGTTCCGTCCTCTCCAAACACCTCACCCTTTACACTCTCAGAAACCTCCTCTCCCTCCACGTCCTCGTCGACTACTTCGGCGCCAAGCAACTCCACCAGCTCACCCGCGGCACTACCCTCTCCTCCACCCTCTTCCAGGCTACCGGCACCGCCCCAGGCACCACCGGATTTGTGAACATCACCTTGCACCGCGCCGGCCGCGTCTTCTTCTCGGCCACTGATTCCGGCGGAAATCCTCCAGTCTCCTTTGTCAAATCCCTGAAGGAAATCCCCTACGTTATCTCCGTGATCCAGATCAGCTCCCCCCTTTCCTCCCCGGAGGCGGAAGCCCCCACCCCTGCCCCTACAGACGTTAACATCACGGCCCTTATGGCCAAGAAGGGATGCAAGACCTTTGCCGACCTCCTCGATTCCACCGCCGACGCCGCCTCCGCCTTCGCTTCCAACGTCGGCAGCGGCCTATCCGCATTTTGCCCTGTCGATCAAGCCATAAACCCCTTTCTCCCAAGCTTCAAGAACCTCACCGCCGGCGAGAAGCTCTCCGTTCTCCTCTACCACGCAATCCCCGTCTATTACTCCATTCAGATGTTGAAATCCAACAATGGAGTTATGAACACACTCGCAACGGAAGGCACCAAGAAGAACTATAACCTCTCCGTGCATAACGACGGAGAGGTGGTGACGCTGAAAACGAAGGTCGATACGGCAAAGATCACCGGCACGCTTATTGATGAGGATCCGCTCGCCGTGTACACCATCGATGTGGTGCTGAAGCCCAGGGAGCTCTTTAAGCCGGTTGAAGCACCAGCGCCGGCACCGGCGCCGGCCCCGACAACGGATGTGGCTGCAGATTCGCCAAAGGGGGCGAAGAAAAAACACAAGCATGCATTGCCGCCGCCGACAGCGGGGGAGCCGGCTGATAGCCCGGACGAAGAGTCGGCAGATCAGAAGGTTGATGACGATGAAAATGATGCTGTGGGAGGAAGGGTTGTTGTTGTAGCTGGGAAATGGATCGCCGCGGCGGCAGCCGCAGCGGTTATGCTCCTTGCTTATTAGTTTTCTTTTCTCTACTATTTCTTTCGGGTTTTAGCTTTTTTTACTGGAAAAAATAAAAAAATAAACTCGTGCTTTATGGTCTCGCTATTCAAGTTTATTGAGCTTACGAGTTGAGCTCAAGCTTAAACTCGAGCTCGTTTAGTAAACGACCTCAAGTTCGAGCTTAATGACTCTCGACTCGTGAGCTTGCGAGTTGGCTCGAATAACTATTAATACTTTTAAAATAATTTCCTTTGATTTATTAAATATAAATATTTAAAAAATTAATAATAAATACTAAACATATTTATTAATTTTAAATATTTTTAAATCCTGCCTAATTTTTTAAAAAAATCTCGCCTAAATTTTAAAAATCACGTCGAGGCTCACGAGCTGACTCGAGCTCATTTACTATGGGACGAGCCCGAGTTCGAGCTGACTATATATCTAGCGAGCCAAGCTCGATAAGGCCACTACTCGACTCAACTAGTTTACACAAGTAAAGTCCACAATGAATATGGATGCATTTTCATCATGTATAATATAAGTTTGTGGATGGAATCATAAGGTTTTTGGTTCTATTATATTTCTATATATTATATGACATTAGACATATAATCATATACATTGTAGGCATGATCACATCTTATTATCCTAACAATTCTTTCATACTATAGAGTATTCATGAATAACTCTTGTTACATATATTGTGTTAATATATAAATATCTTATCCATACTATTTATATTATCAAGATGACTTACAAGGTGTATCACATAAGGGAATCTCCAACAGAAAACCCCATTTTCCATTCCAAAATGCAATAATTCATCTACAATCGAATTCCATTTCTTTTTCATCTTTCGCGCTCTTCGTCATCTTGTTGTGAAGGTAACCATCTTTCTCCTCTTTTGCGGGCTTCTTAGGCAAATCCCATAGCACAAAAATTGGTGCAGGTGAATAATGCAACACCAATATTGTCGTGACACTGTTCACCTACCGAATTTTGACGTGTAATTTAGCATTTGAATGAAGCGAATAGTGGTATGCAGTTTGGTTGGAGATGATCTAAGGTTGATTACGTGTTTATAAGCCGGCTCAATTTGATATACCTATGTTCTCTTACAAACCTTATGGATGAAGAGTTAGCACACGAGAGAAATTATGGGTAACATATAATAAGTGATGACATGATTCTTTTTCAGGTATGATATTAATATTTGAAACTAAGAGGGGTGGTTGATAACTTATTCAATAATATATTTTATGAATAACATAAGTAACATTTCATATCATATTCAATGTTCATCATATAAAATTTTATTTCCAATATAGATGATCTTGCATGTAAGCCAGAAGTAGAGAATCTAAGAAAATACACCACAATGCCCAATTAACATGTGTAATTTCTAACATGTGAAGCACATTAAGCTTGCATGACATTCATATTAAATCAAAGTGTTGTAATGCAAATAGAATAAGATTGAAAAAAAAATCATATTACTCATATTAGGACATGCCTTTAAAATTAAAAATATATAAGGAAAACTCAGTATGAATAGATATTGATACATCATCAAAAAATTATCTTGATCGGGCACGAATCTCGAGGCAAAATCAAGTTGGAAACTTCCAAAACAAAACTTGGAACCATCCAAACTCCAATTTCAGCAAACTTATAGTTGAATTGAACGTCTCGGAAATACAAACCCAATGACACCAAATTCGACTCAATTCGAGCCCAAATGGGTCTGAATCGAGGACTCGAAGCGTTGTTGGAAGGTTCAAACCACAATTTGGATTACTAAACGATTTCCAAACACGACATTGTTATATTCGAATCGAGTTGCTCGACGAGAAAAATCCAACGAGCCCAAGATCACATAATTCCGACATCATTAAGATCATTAAATATCTGACGAACGGTCCACGATCAAGGGATTCAACATAGGACGTCCATCCAAGCTCACTCCCAATTTACCAATGATCTTCCTCCTATTTACTTGTCATGCCACTCTAAGAAATTTATAAATAGATCTCTCATTTTCTCTTGAGAGGGCACCCCAAACAAGAAGTGAAGAGAAACAAAAAAGATAAGAGAATAATGGAAGAGACTCCTCGACCACCGCCGGACTTCCATCCGGTAGCCGACCGGCGCCGGAATTAAGCAAGGAAGTAAGAAGAGAAGTAAGAAAAGAAAGATAAGGAAAAGACTCATCCTTGACCAACGCCGAAGTTCTACCCGCAGCCGACAGACGTCGGAGGTTCTGCCCCACAACAGACTTTCTTCGGACTTCTACCTGAAGCTGGATTTCCTCCCGTCGTCGAATTTCTACCCGACAACGGATTTTCGCCTATCCCCGGATTCGTACCCGACATTGGATTTCTACCAGATGTCAAACTTCTGCATGTAGCCAGACCTTCGTCGGACTCCTATTTGAAGCCAAATTTCTACATGACGTCGGACTTTTAGCCGAAGACAAACTTTTGTTGGACTTCTACCCGACGACAAACTTTGACCCGTCGTCAGACTTTCGTCAGACTTCTACTCGATTTTCAGCTTCCACTCGACACCAAACTTCTTCCCGTCAACGGATTTCTACCCAACACCGGACTTCCACCCGTCAACAGTCTTTCCGACCTGCTCCACCAGACAATAGTCTTTTTAACAATCGTCACCCGCCAACTACGATACTTTTGACCTCCGTTGCCAAACAACGGTCCTTCAGACCTCCATTGTCCGCTGACTATGGTTCTTTTGACCTCCATGGCTAGATAATGCTCTTCTGACCTTCGTCGCCCGCCGACTATGATTCTACTGACCAAACAGATGCATCAATAATGACTCTTTCAAGACCAATCATATAACACATTCTATATGATGTATATTTGTTACATCAAGCTAAGGCCTTCCCCCAATGAAGGATCTCATTTGTACTTGACTGCAAATAATAGTTGATTCATTCAAACTGGACTAGGCCCCATGAGTTTTCCCCTTTTAAGGGTTTTCCACGTAAAAAAGTTGATGTCACGTATGAATGATACACTCTCTCTTTTTATCTGATTGCGTGCTTGATCTTCATACAAAGCTAAAACGTTAAACTTTATATTTCTCTAACGCCGTGAATACTCTAGGACGCAACATATATATAATTTTTGAACTTATATGATGAAAATGTTCAAAATACTGAAATATCATAATTGTTGTAAGTTTTTACAAAATTAAATCTGACCAATAACAATTTATATTAAAATCATTATATATATATATATATACCCATACAACTCATGTTCAATAACGTTCCAACCTACGATCACCTCAGAACGTTCGGGTGTGCCTGTTTCCCGTCGCTTCCTCCGCATACGTCGACCAAGCTTCAACCGAATTCGGCTCTATGTGTATTCATGGGTTACTCGCTAACTCAAAAAGGATACAAATGCTTAAACCTTGAAACAAACATAATATCTATTTCCAGGCATGTTACCTTTCTTGAAAATGTTTTTCCTTTTCACGCTAAACCTCCGTCGTCTATTTCTTCTCAGCAAGAAGTACCTCCCAAACTGCTCATTCCCGTTTCTAAAGCTACTGAGGACATCCCATTAAGCACCAATACTGTGTCTCCTACGTCTCCAATCAGTGACCAATCTCCTACTACGTCTCGGTCTCCTTCCAGCTACGTGCAACTGCAATCTGAGTCAGCCCCTATGCAAGCTCCTACCAAACATTCCATGACTACAAGATCTCAAACGGGCACACTTAAACCCATATGCCGCATGAACTTGCTTCACCAGGTTGAGCAATACGATCACCAACATGTTCCCACCACCTATTCCGATGCAAGCAAACAGGCTGAATGGCGTCAAGCGATGGCAGAAGAATTCGCCGCTCTGCAACAACAGGGCACGTGGACACTCGTTGCCCCTCCTCAGAATGCGTCTATATTAGGATGCAAATGGACATTTAGAAATAAGTTCAATTCAGATGGCTCGGTTGCCAGACACAAAGCGCGATTGGTCGCTCAAGGGAATCGTCAAGAACATGGTCTGGATTACGAAGAAACGTTTAGCCCAGTGGCTAAACTTCCGACTATCAGGGTGCTATTCACAGTCGCGCTACATCACGGATGGACAGTCCAACAACTTGACGTCAATAACGCCTTTCTTCATGGAACATTAACAGAGACAGTCTTCATGCGACAACCCAAGGGCTTTGAAGACAGTATGAATCCAGACTACGTCTGTCACTTAAAGAAGGCGATCTACGGGCTCAAACAAGCCCCTCGGCAATGGTACACCACCTTCACCAACCATTTGCTGAACTCCGGGTTTCAACACAGCCGAGCAGACCCATCACTCCTCATCTACAGAAGGCGCGACATTCAAATTTTTCTCCTGGTATACGTAGATGATATCCTCATTACCGGAAACAACGAAACTGAAATCTCTAAACTGCTCCTCAATCTCAACAACCAATTCAGCATGAAACACCTCGGTCCAGCTAGCCAATTTCTCGGCATTTCCATCAAATCTACAAAAGATAAGTATTTTCTCACACAATCTTCTTACGCATTGTCCCTGTTACAACAAACAAATCTAGTTCAATGCAATTCTCTTTCTAATCCCTCGGTCACGAAACAGCCATCCAACTTCAAATTGGATAACACCATATCGGACGCCACTGTCTATCGTCGTATAACAGGAGGCCTTCAATACTTAACTATAACGCGTCCTGATATCGCTCACTCCGTCAACAATCTCGCTCAGCACATGCACAATCCTGAACCAGTCCATCTCTACCTTCTCAAGAGGCTACTGAGATACATCAAAGGAACGATCAGCGTCGGCTTACCGATTACAAAATCCAATCTGCAGCTCAGAACGTTCTCGGACGCAGACTGGGCCGGCGACCCGATCACCAGAAAATCAACAACTGGATTCTGTACATTCTTAGGCGACAATTTGATCTCGTGGACGGTAAAGAAGCAAACCACGGTTTCCAGATCCTCCACTGAGTCTGAATACAGAGCGTTGGCTGCCGCCACTGCGGATATCATTTGGCTCAGGCGTCTAACTGAAGATTTCAATATTTCGCATAACCAACCGATCTCCATCTTCTGCGATAATACATCAGCAATCGCACTCGCCAACAACCCTGTGTTCCACGCCCGAACCAAACACATAGAGATCGATCAAAGGTTCATCAGAGATCATATCCAGCGCAATACCATTCGCGTGCTACCCATCAGCACAGTGGACCAGCTCGCGGATATCTTCACAAAATCTCTACCTACCCTGCGGTTTAAACACCTTCGTTCCAAACTGACGCTCAGGGAAGAAACATCAGTTTGCGGGGAGATGTTAGAGAACTAATTAATTATGATTACTGTATTAATTACCTTGCCTTATTTAGCATGAACCAATAGCTTGAGTACACGTTGCACCTATAGCTTCCAAGCCTATATATAGGCACCTGTACTATGTTTTCAAACTATCCAATATATTCATCTTGCTTTTACTTTAGAATCTTTCTGTTCTGTTCTTCTTCCCCATCTCCGGCGAAGCTCATCGGAGATATAGTTTCTACACCGCCGTGGCGGTTCCGGGTCGTGTCGGGTCAACCCGGCAACCCGCCGGGTCGGGTCCGGGTTCGGATTTTCGACCCGTTTCTCTACCCGGGTCGGGTTAGGGTTGACCCGTTTTCCACCCGGGTCAGTTCGGGTTCGACCCGAACCTGACCCGTGACCCGAAATTGACACCCCTAACCTCATCTATGTATAAGGTCAACTAAACATTCAATATAATCAACATAGTGCACTGCTCCCTACAGTACGCTAACTCATTGACTCAATCATTGTTCAAACCTCACCATTTGGAGCTTCACGCATTAAGTATCATGATAAATTATGAGGGTTAGAGCTTTAAAATATTGAGGATAATATTTTTCTAAAGATATGAGAATTATAACACCTAGAAAGTTAGTATATCGTTCAACCCGTTCTAATCTGACCATATTCGAGGTACTATGTTAATTTTTGTATTTGGACCTTTTTGCATGTATTTGAGTATATTTTGTGTACATTTGAGAGTTTGAATGTATTCTGAATTGGGTCTCGTGGGTTTATTTGCATGTTTGGAAATTATGAAATTTGTCCTTGGGAGGTTGCAGCATTGGGGTTGGTTGCGCTCCAACACCTATGCTCTCAAGAATTTTGAAAAATAATCAGCGCGATGACGCTGGGACGAAGCTACGATGCTGTGGGCTTTTTAAGGGAGCACCATGGCCGGTGCCGTGGGCACCTTGACACTATGATGAATTTTTATATTAGAAATATCATTTTTCACTATTCACTCAATTCATTTCTCATAAGGATGAGAGCTAGTCAAATAAGAGAGATTTCTAGAGAGAGAATATTAGATTTGGGCTGCTTCGAGTCATTTTAAGCTGATGGCATAGTTTTGAAAGTTGTTTGAATTAATGAATGTGACATTTGCCCATCTCAATTAAAAAAAAAAAATACAGAGATTTATAAAATTTCACAATTTAATTTTTATTTTTGAAGTAAAAAAAATGAGAATAATTTTATATCGGTGAATTTTTTACCGTATAATTTTATGTATGTTATGGAGACAAAGATTATGAACATTTAAGTATTTTTTATAAAAAAAAAGGTATAGGGGGATTTTGGGAATTTAACTATTTTAATTAATTAAAAATAATTCTAACTTAGAAAAATAATGTTGTAGTATAATTACATTCTTAAAATAGTGTTTTATGCAATCTCTGATATTTTAGTTATGTTTTGAAATATTGCATTTATACTAAGTAGTAAGTTTAGTTGCCTAGCCACCATTATAACATTTTGTAAAATTTTAAAATGGGTTGATTTATTTCTAATTACTGCAATACAATGAGTTAAGTGCTTAATTGATTGAAATGTGTGATTCCTGTGTGGTTGGAAGGAGTTATGTTCTTGTGCATACGAGCATGTTCGGATGCGTACGAGTATATTTTGGTGCTTATACACATTATGTTTCGGTGCTGACATTTGGAGGCACATGGGCCCACAAAGAAGTTGTTGCCTTTTGTTATGATATATAAAGTACTTGTTTTTTTACTAGCCTATAATGTTATATAAATTTTTTGATAATTACGAATATAATTCTATTCAACATAATGATTTAATTTACATTATTTCAAACTCAATTACACATTTGATAAATGAATTATTTGAAAATTTAGATTGATAAAATGTGGCATGCCGAGTTGTGTTAACTCGCATTTGTTTGACATTTTTTCTTTTGATTGTACATTCATGTATTTTAATTTTATTGCTCTGCTATGTAACTGAGTTTGTAGTCATATAATGTAGTTGTATATTCATTTCATTGATAAATGCAATATATATATATATAGTTTATTTTCGGTACAAGGGATGTTGTAAATAGATATATGATTGTTATTTTTTAAAGTTAAAATTGGACGAAAAATTTGAATGTTTTTTAAAACTTAGATCATAGTGTTCGCATGTTGCAAATCAACAAGATATGACCTATTCAGGCTGTGGATCTTATCGGGTTGAATTGTGACTGATAGTAACCTCACACTTAAACAATCATTTGAAGGATTGGGTCAATTGATTAAAAGTGTGTATTTCTTATGAGTCTTGAGTGCAATTGTTTTTATTATGTCTGATACTTCTACACTTAACGATATTACTTGTTCATATCTTATGCATTTTATTTCCTACACTTATACACTTATTTATTTGATTAGATTACCTAATTGTTCAATTACTTATATTTATTTGTCAGAGTTTGAATTGACATAATTAAAAAGAATTTCAACGCGCTTATGAACATCTGATTCACTTCTCTTAGCGCACCGTAATATAGAATTAATATCATAGTGGTGTCTCATTCTTATAACTTAGTTGCAAAGAAACGTAGACAAGACCATCAATTCTGTTTTTTTGCCGATCTGAGAAAAAAAATTCTACTTTTCGGTTCTAATATATCGATTTAAAAATAAAAGTCGGGGGAACCAAACGAGACCTAAATAGAATGTTGAGCAATATTTGCACCGAAAATAATATGGAATGAGGATAAACATTTAAAATATTAAAAAGGATATTCATATCCAAAATATATATTTATATTTATCGTTAAATGTTAAAAAAAAAAAAGAGGTCGATTAATTTGTTATTAATTTTTGGAGTGACGAGCCTCATTTTTACGAAGAGACCTAAAATACTATTCTGCGGGATGGAAGACGGTGGGTTAGGGTTTTGTACCGTCTCGTTTCGCTTGCTCGAATTCTAGACAGCGGTGGCTTGCAAATGGAAGACGATGGTGGCTTGCCAATGGAAGATGGTGGTGACGGCGACCGAGCCGGTTTCCACGGCCGCGAGGTGATCTCCGCTGTCCAGGACGAGGAGCCGTTCTACGGCGACGACGAAGATGACTATGACGATCTCTACAATGACGTCAACGTTGGTGAGGGCTTCTACCAGTCTTCTGCCCTCCGAGGTGAAGCCGTTTCCGGTGGTTTTGCAGGAGAGGATGACATTAGGAGAGAACCACCGCAGGTTCCCGTTGCTGTTGCACCGGCTGGAGATCTGCAGGAGGGCGTCCATATCCCTGGTACAGAAGGAAACCTACAGGCAGAGAGGACAGTCGACAGATCTGGGGTTTTCTCGGAAGCAGGTATCAAGGGGAGCGTTGATTCGTCCGTTCCGGCGAGACCACCAGCGCAACCGGGCCTGCCTAGGCCTGATCTAGGGCAGCCCTGGGTTAGACCGGTTCTGGTTCAGGCGCATCGAGGTGGTGATTCGTTGAACGAAGGATTTCCAAGGCAAGGATCTGGTGTCGGGAACGATGGTTTTCGTAGGCAAGGAGTATTAGTTAGCAGAGAAAGCGGTTCCAACCGTTCAGTCGCCATGGGCACTTCAGGTAGCGTTGGAGCAGTAGCAGGACCTTCAGTTGGTGTAGGGAACAACATGAATGGGGCTATTTCTATTGTTGGTGGCAGTGGAGGTGGAGGGGGAACCACTACTCTTTTTGTCGGAGAGCTTCAGTGGTGGACAACAGATGCTGACCTTGAGGCAGAACTTTGCAAATACGGACCTGTTAAGGAAGTGAGGTTTTTTGATGAAAAGGCTAGTGGGAAATCAAAAGGTTATGCTCAGGTTGAATTCTATGATCCAGCAGCTGCTATTTCCTGCAAGGAGGGTATGAACGGGCATATGTTCAATGGGAAGCCATGTGTTGTGGCCTTCTCTTCCCCACAGGGTATTCGGAAGATGGGCGAGGCTCATATAGCAAGGAATCATCAGGGAATGGTTCAGGGTCCATCACAGCCTATGGCTGCACAAAAAGGTAGAGGAGGAGGAACTCACATGGGTGGGAATTTTGGGAGGGGAGGAGCTGCTGGAGGTGGTGGTAATTGGGGAAGGGGTGGGATGGGAAATAGAGGACATATGGGGAATGCAAGGAACCGGGTTGGGCCAGTTGGTGGAAGAGGTATTATGGGGAATGGTGGTATGATTGCGCCACCGCCTCCAGTATTCAATCCAGGTGCCATTCTTGGCCCGGGGTTTGATCCAACGGGTTATGGAATGGCAATGGGTAGAATGGGTGCTGGATATGGCGGATTTCCTGTTGGGCCAGCGGCTGGTGCTTTCCCAGGAATGTTACCTTCGTTTCCTCCTGTTGTAGCACCACATGTCAACCCAGCTTTCTTTGGAAGGGGAATGCCCTCTGCTGGAGTGGGCATGTGGTCTGATCCTAATATGGGTGGCTGGGGAGCTGATGAACAATCAAGTTATGGGGATGATGCTACATCAGACCAACAATATGGCGAAGGAAGTCATGTAAAGGATAGAGGCGGTGATCGGGATTGGTCAGTAGCTCCAGATAGAAGACACATGAAGGATAAAAACACAGGGCATGGGCAAGATTGGTCTGAGAGGAAGCAATATGAGGAGAGGGATGCAGGCTGGGATAATGATAGAGATTTGGATAGGGACAGGATGAGGGATAGAGAAAGGGAGAGGGAAAGAGAGAGAGACCATGAAAGAGAAAGAGATCGAGACAGATATCGTGATGATAGAGATAGGTATGCTGATCATTATAGGCCAAGGGATTATGATCCAGAGTATGACGACGATTGGGATAGAGGACGTTCATCTAAGGCTCAAAGCAACTCACGGGAGGTTGAGAATGTTAAGAGGCGCCGACAATCTGAATGAGAAGGGGATTCAGCAATATTCCTTGGCATGAGTTGATTCTACTGAGTATTCCACATATATGATTATGCTTTGATGTTATTGGCTTCCATTTGTCAAGGATATTGCTGTTCTTGGTATGTTTATTACATTCAAAATGTAAGTAATCTCTTCTATGTTAATTATTAGTTTAATTGTCATGTTTCCCATCTTTATTTTTATTATTTGTTTTAAATTCTACACTTTTGAAGATGATGATACTAGTTCCTTTTGCTTATTGGTTTTTAAGATGTATTAGGCTAAATTGGGCTCTTAGTCTTGTTTGAAAACTAAAAGTTGTTTTATAATATCAGTTATTACTTGAAGTTGAATTTAGCGGTCTTCCATTCAATTATGTCATCTACTTCGAGAATTTCTTTCTGTTTTGTATCCTTGTTTATGAAGGTTATTTTGGCTTAGGAAGTAGTATGTACTGATAGTATTGGATGGCATAAGGTGGGGGTGAATTGCGAGTGAGTGGAAACACAATACATAATGCAATATTAAGAAGTTGAATCACACAATGAATTTCAAGTGGTTTGACACCATCCCTGCCACATCCAACACATAATTGAATTCTTGCTAGGATTTGCAAAAGCTTCAAAGCTTTCACTATACCAAGACTTTTATTTGCAAGTCTCAAGCTTTAGAAGCTAATCCCAAGGCGAGGATAATCAAGCTACAAACCAAGGGCCTCAACCTTACTCGGGATAAAAATACAATTTTAATCTGAGAACTTAAAGTTAAAACTAGTGACAAATTACAAAGCGATGTGGAAGAGAGATTTATCGAGTTAGTTGATGAAAATCTTCTGTTTTGCAACAGATAACTTCAATCCCCTAGAGTGCTTCTTAGATCTTCATTTTAATGCAAAATGCTATTGGAAAGGCCCCGTTTATCAGAATGAACTAACATGAAAAAGTGGAGGGTCTAGAATCACATTTAGGAAAAATGACATTATGATATTTTGCAATTCGCAAGTCTCATAACAATGATATTTTGAAACTTTTCAATATATGAATTCATAAAAAGAGAAAGAAGCATGCATTATATGATTTTGAAAGAGGGATACCATAAAGTATAAAGATATTCTCAAATGGCTTCTATATTGAGGGTGAAAATGAATGAATATGACAAGTAATTTTATCTTCAAGAAAATATAGCCCATAATTTTCTCTAGCTTGCCCAATCGTCTTACCCATAGTGAGGTCTTGATATACACAATGACTAGAAAAAAATATTATGTTGCAACTGTAGTTTAAGAAGCTTTGTTTAATGTGCTAGAAAAGATAAAAATTAATTTGGATTCATGTCAGGTAGGTATACTAATGGAGAATTATAAAGAGAATAAGGAGGCTCTACATATGATATTTGTTGATTTAGAGAAAGCTTATGATAAAGTTCTAAGAGAAGCGCTATGGAGAGTTTTAGAAAAGAAAGGGGTTAATAATGCTTTTACTCAAGTCATTAAGGATATGTATGCAAGATCTATTACTCGTGTTCAAACAAAAGGTGGTTTGACCAAGTATTTTCTTATTTCAGTTGGATTACATCAAGGATCAACTTTAAACCCATATCTTTTTGCTTTAATCATGGATTTTCTTACTAGACATTTGCAAGAGGATGTACCCTGATGTATGCTTTTCACTGATGACATTCTTCTTGTTGATAAGACTAGAGAGGGAGTTGAAGGTAAACTTGAATTATGGATGTCAACCTTAGAATCTAAAGATTTTCGTGTGAGTATATCTAAAATTGAATACATGGAGTTTACTTTTAGTAGTAATAGATTTAGTGGGGCATTGTTACTTTGGGCGATCATGTCATTAATAATAGTACATGTTTTAAATATCTCGGGTCTATTGTCTAGAGTGATTGTAAAATAGATGGGGATATTATTAATAGAATTCAAGTTGAATGGTTGATGTGGAGAAATGCATTGAGCTAGTTGTGTGATAGAAATATACCCCTCAAACTTAAGGGAAAGATCTATAAAATGGTGGTGAGACCTGCAATTCTTTATGGCGTAGAAAGTTGTCCATTAAAAGAGAAGCATAAAATTAAGTTAAGTTTTGCAAAGAGGAGGATGCTCAAGTGGATGAGTGACTTTATTCTTAGAGATAGAATGTGAAACGAGCATATATGTAAAAAAGTTGGAATAGCTCCAGTGGCAAATAAGATTATAGAGAGTTGCCTTAGATGGTTTGGTCATATAAAACATCGGTCTTCCAATGACTTAGTTAGGATATTAGATGTATTAAATCTGGCTTATGTTAAGAGAGGTAGATGTAGACCTAAAAAGATTTTTAGAGAATATTAGAAATGACCTTTTTTTGTATAATTTATGATACATTTTGTATTATGGTGCTTGAAGCTGTTTTTATTTTTTATTTTTGGCATACTATTCCACTTCTTCGGAATAGTTAAAGGAACTTGGAATTATAACTCATGACAAATGTGCAATTATATGGAACCATGGTGATATAAGATGGAAAACTACAAATGTAAGTGATAGAAGATTATACACAAAGCATAAACAATGATTTCAGTCACTTCCCTAGGATAGACTTATAACATTCGCAGTCAGAGAATGTGCAATTTAAATATAACTCTTATGAGAAATTTACTAATTCTTCATTTGCTTATCCATACAATCCGATGCTTGAGAAATATAGTCGCATTCTCCTAACCTAAAGATGGAAGAATTTGTTCTTTTATTCTCGGCAAGGGCAAGCTCTGTATTTCCAAGAACTTGTGAATACAAGGTTAACTGGATTCAACAAATACTTTTTGAGTACAATGAGAATTACAATGAGATTTATAAAAAGTGGCTTGGATGAATTTCCAACTCTCGAGAATGAGGCTAAAATGATATTATAATTGAAGTTTAATAGTGTGGAATGAGAAAATGAACATCCCAAATAAACCCTTGAAATAATTTCATTGATTTTCTTGGGCGTAATCAGGAGGTATATACGTATCTTCATAGGGGCTAAAATATCATTAATTTGTAAGGCCTTGTAGCTGTTAGAGCAAGAAACAATCCTTTTTTTGTCCAAATAGCAGCCATATGTATATAAATTCGATACCATAACATATAAACATTAATAAACATGATTCGTAACTCACATTCCATACTAGCATATTTTTACTTTATATGCAAAATATTGATTTCTGTGAATTGTAAATACGTTCTCTCTATTAGTATACATTCAGCAAAATGTATATACATTGTAGAGAAAGTTAAGTTCGTTTAGATTGAGCTGTCCTAAGTAGGCATTTCAGGTTTTTTTGGTAATATCGAATAAAGATGAAGTGATATCAGAAAATTACGAAAATTTATATGACAGGTCAAATATGCAGAATTTATTGTTGCTTCTAGTTTCATCAAAATATTAGGTTATTTTAAAATCAAAGGTTTAGTAGAATAGACTAACGACCGTTTTTAATCTACACGACAATTGAAACTGATGAGATTAATTTCAATGATCAAGAAATTGGCAACTCTATCATAGCATGACTAATTACAGGTTGCAGAGATGATGATGCTCAGGTGGATGAGTGGCTTTACTCTTAGAGACAAGATAGGAAATGAGAATATATGTGAAAAGATTGTAGTAGCTCCAGTGGAAGATAAGATTAGAGAGAGTCACTTTAGATAATTTGGTCACATAAAACGGCGGGGCCTTCCGATGACCCGGTTAGAAAAGTAGATGTATTAGATTTGATTTATGTTACAAATGCTAGAGGTAGACCTAAAAAGACTTGGTTAGAAAATATTAGAAATGATCTTTCTTTATTAAATTTAAATGATAATTTAACTTTTAACCAGGCACAATGAATAAAAAGGATTCATGTAGCTGACCCCATATAGTGGGATAAAGGCTTCATGTTGTTATTGTTGTTGTTGATTCACAACTTGGTTATAATTGGTTGAAATTATTTCTTTGTTCATGGATAAACTTGATTGGTGAATGACTCATTTATTCCTTGAGTAAATGATGGAATTGCCTGTCAAATAGCATGTGAAATCATACCATTCAAGGCGCTGTTATTTATTTACATTAATTGCCAGAGAACCTTTTTTTTTTTAAATGAATTGCCAGAGAACTATTTAGTTGAGTAAACAAGCATATCATGCTCCATGTACCATTTTCAGAATTGCAGGCTTACTATGTGTGCTGCCAAATGATTTTGTGAAGTTTGTTATCGTGAATTAAGTGTTCATCAGGTATGTAAATTAGACTGGACTCTAATTGTGATAATACTAAAGTCTTCACTATTGACTTTTGTTATAAGAGTAACAAATGCTTTTTATGTGTTTCGTGGCCATAAGGGATATTGTTCTTTTGCTATTTTTTGGCAGACTTTAGTAATTTCTTGTCTTGAGGCACATGATATAAATCTGTGCTGGACATAGGAAATTCTTCACTATCAGGCATTTGGCTTAGCCTATTTGCAGCACCTTTTGGCATGTGTATATTTAAAAATGCTGCATTCAAAATGGTGCATGAAGTTGCGAATAGGTTCAAGTGTTTTGTCATTATACTCCTGTATTTGAGCCATATGGAGAATTAGAGTGCTTTATATTTAAAATCTTTCTCTTATGTATCCTAATTCCTAACAACTCTTTTACATGGTTCATGTATTTGTTCTGTTTACCAATCATGGAGCGACACATTTCAGATAATTGGTTAATATTATAATTCTACTGGTGGGTTTGCAGTTTGTTAAACGAACATAAAATTTGACCCATTTTATTTATTAAGATCGCTTCCCATGCCATCGCCCATGCTACTTGTATTTGCGCAGGACTCTTCTTCTCATTTCTTCCCTCTCTCGTGCATGACCCTCCTTCACATGCCCTCTGATAGGAAATACTTGAGTTCGCAAGTAACCCTAAGGTAATACTTGAGTTCGCAAGCAACCCTAGTCAAAATCAGCCCAAAACAGTGAGCAAAACTGCTGTCCCAGCAGTTTTACAGCAGCTCCGCAGCAGGAAATGCACCCAAACAGAGAAAAATAAGTAAAAGAAACAAGGTTTCCACTAGTAGATGCAAGAAAACAAAGAAAGATACAACGTCCTTCGATTCGAGAGGAAGAACAACTCTTCACAAGTCTCTAGCAAACCCTAGAGCCCAAGCACACAATGAGATCTCAAACTTTTCATTCAAATTCAAGATGAGGATCTAATTCCCCCCTTTCCCCCTCTTTAACTCTCATCCCCATACAAAATCCCTAAACAGCCCTTCTATTCAAATTTCCCCCCTTTCCATTCAAATTTTCCCTCCAACCCTTGAATTAACTCCATGTGGGGCCCGCCTAGAGTAAGAAAGGACCGGAGGGGCCCGCCTAACACCCTCATTCTTTCTCGTCTCCCCTCTCCTTCACACACCCTCGTTCTTTCTCGTCTCCCCTCTCCCTCTCCCTCTCCCTCTCGTTTTCGCTTCTCTCTCAACTAGTGCCATCGTTTCGATCAGCTCGCATTTGGTTTGCCAAGAAGCTTGTGTTCAACTTGCTCTTTATGGAAGCAAGCTGAGTTTGAACAAATATTTTGTTCAACTTGCTCGTTACGGAAGCAAGCCAATAAGCTAATTATTTGAAATTTAATTTTTTTTTTAAATTTAATCCTGAAATGAGCCGAACAGGCTTGTTGGGTTTATAACAATCAAACATGAGTATGATGAATATGATGTTTACGAACAATTTCAAACATGAGCAATATTTGAATAAAAAAGTTTGAATGAGCAGAGCACAAACATCATATTTACGAACAATTTCGAACATGAGCAATTTTTATTTTTTTATTTTTTTTTATTTTTTGCATAAAGCAAGGACTGCATGCCCAATTTTGCACCAATAATTTGAAAAATACATGAATCATGACTTTTGACCTAGGTGTCTTGTAACTTAACGAAATTATGCTTCAAAATATTTCATGAAAGTTCTATATGCTCTAGGAGCAGTATATTATACTAACATTTGCTAGATCGGCCAAGCTTTTACCACAGCATTACATCTTTGTATTTCAACGCTCAAAGACATAGATAACCGTGCTATTATATTTATGATGTTTAAATTTTTTCTTTTTTTTGTTAATATTCAACCGTGCAAATATAAGATATAGACATAAGAATTTACATCTTATATTCTACTTTGCATTTAGTAATCCAACAAACCTCCTTGTTAACTTAAATGCATGGCAAGTTATCTTTTCTTGAGAAATTTCATTTATGTTTTCTAACTAATGATTTGAATTTTTGCAGCTAGTCCAGTCGCGATCAATCCGATACTGATTTCCTGGTCCAAGCAGCTTTTGACTGAACAATATAATAATATTTTTGGGCTCATTATCAAACCCAGTTTAGTATTTGAACTTACTTTGAGTTATAAAACCTCTTTTAGTGTACAACTTTATGAATTTATTGAGTGAATTGAGGTTTTAGGCTGTTTAAGAGGAGATCATCATTTACATATATTTCAAGATGATAACCTGATTGTTAATTTATGTACAAGTAGATATTTCCAGAATGGTGAGGTTACAGCCATTCATTCAAGCAGGGATCACAGACTGACAGTGGAGCTGTTTGTTTGAAGCTTTCTCTATTTTTGAATGCTGGATGGGTATCTGTTGTACTGTACAAGATGCTTATATTTGTAATCTCGGTTGTTATTTTTTGATTTTTGCTGTTGTTGTTATTGTTGTCGTTTTGTTTTTTATTTTCCCCATTTTGTTAATATTCCTAGTTTTTTATATCATTCGTTTTTTTTACTGATTGTATGTATATTTAAAGTAGGGAGTCGAGCCATGTAAATCTGAAGTGTACATATTGTTTAGTGTAAAGAACTGAAAGCAATGCACGAAAGTTTTACTTATCCAGATCAAAATGTTAATGAGTGCATTTTTTGGTCTTCAGTTCTGGCTGACTTGTATTTCTTGTAATTGTTATTATCGATGGATGGCTTTTCTGCTGGCTGTTCTACGAGATTATTCTGTGCGGATACCAGACATAGCTTACCGTCCGGAGGCCAATTAGATGCAGCCACGTCATCCAGTACTGAGCAGTACCGAGACGCGATACTGAGTAGGGGTGATGTGACGCATTTTCGTTGGGCTCTGAACGACGTTCGGCGTCCGCATAGAATAATTCATCCTGTTATACATGCTTGATTCGTTTAGTTTGTTTACAAGGATTGTAAGTTACATTTTTTGTATTTCTACCTTTGTATAATTTGTATAATTTTTGATTGAGACTATGGTTCTCATGGCTAAAAGCGGTTTAATAAGAGTAAGAGAAATGTTGAGTAAGCTTTGGTTATGTAATAAAAATGTCTTATTTGGTAGGTGGATTGAGTTATTTATGCTTGTTTGTTGTTCTGAATTGGCTAGCAGCTGGTTGTCAAGGTCATAGATTGTAATATTAAGTATATGTGTGGTGTAAATTTTTATCATTATTGTAATGTTTTATGCAGCCTGAATTGAAATGTTTGGCAACATTTTTTGCAAATTTGACACATTGATTGTGATTGTCCAGTCGAACTAATTGTTTATTTAGGCTTCGCTGTTGTTTTTGGAAGCAGTATGATAAGTTGTTTTGATTATGATGCTTTTTTTAAGTATTGAAATCATTCTGAGATAAGTATAATATGATAGTTGATTGGTTTTTCATATAAAATATCAAATACGCTGATTAAAAATTTAATTCCGATTTGAATCAGTATATATTATAACAGTTTATCAAGTTTTCAAAGCAAAACGAATGGGCGTTTCATTATTGTCAAGTGTGCATAAGTGAAAAAATTGAACATTTTGAATTTCCGTTCAAATTTCTCATACTGAATTTGTCAATTTGTAAATTTAATTGATATCAATATATTAATTATACAACTGATAAGCAAATATAGTGAAAATGATGTGCTTCAATTCATAAAATTCAAGTAATTAATCATGTAATTAGTCATGAGATGCATACTATAAAAAAAAAAGGGTAACAAAGATCAGAATTAGTATAATTATCTATAACTGAAATATATATATATATATATATATATATATATATATATATATATATATATAAAGTTTTATATAATATCGAAATAAATCTAATAATTTTTAAACTTACCATGATATAATTTATATTAAAATATTCAAAAAAAAATCCATCAAATAATGCAATTTCATCCTGAAACAGTTCAAATTTATGGCAGCCTCAAAATTTCACATTTACCATTTCTCTTTTAGCAAATTAAATATTGGAACGTTAAACCTACCCCTCACTTGCTTCCATACTTCTGCTTGAGACGAAATAGAAATACTCTTCAGCATTTATAGTGGAAGAGAAATCCAAGCAGTACAGGCCCTCTGCCAAACCATTCAGAAACAGCAGCCAAGAATTCTCTCTTCCAGTTGCTTTCAGCTTAGTTTGGGACGGCTTTTTTGCTGCTTTTTAAAGCAGCTTTTAATATAAAAAATAAAATTTTTATACTAAAAAACTGCTTTAAGAAGCAATAAAAAAATCGTCCGAGACAAAACATTAATCCCAACAGAAATCTCATTCTCTGAGACTCGGCCAACAATAAAACATTAAATAGTAGAGTTACAGGATTAAAGATTGTAGCCTATGTCTCGCCTCAGCTGCAAAGGCTAAAGATTCATCACTCGGATCCTCTTTTGCAGCAGCAACAGCTGACAAATAAGCTTCTCTTGCTTCTTCCATCTTCACAGTATCTATTTCTCCGATGTCATCCTGCTTGAATCCAGAAAAGGAAAACAAAATGTTTATAAAATAATTCTCGTTATAAGAAAAGATAAACAATTTGGTCTGAAAATTTGTAAGCTCTCATTTCTAGTAGCGGCAACAAAGTACGAGAAAGGTAGTGTGTGACTTGGGTCACTATAATTTGTTCAACCGGCTAAATATTACAACTGTATTAACTCCATCATAACAATTATTTGTTGAGACAATCTACCTAGTTGTTCAACTAGATTTGGAAGGGTTTCATTCTCAACAATTTTATTTTCTGATTCTAATTTCTTTCTCAAGCATTCAACAAGTCTTCAAAGAAAGAAACAGTTGTCCTGAACTTTGATATGCTCTCTTTCTTTGCACCATGCATTAGGTCTGGTGCTCTGATACTATTTTAATATGATGCTAACCTCTTAATGTGACCTACATATACAGATTAAAAATATGTTTTTTGAGATGCCCTAATGACCCATGGATTGAGGTACATATATTTAGTTTGATTTAGATGATATTTTCTCTCTATTTTCCTAAATCGACTCTGATTCAAGCCTCGATGATGTTATTTTGTGCTTGAGGATGAGGTGCTTTGACCTTGGCTTGTTTTGTACTCAACAACACTATTCTAGACTTAAAACAACATCGTTGAAGCTTGTTTATGTTTGAGAAAACAATAGAGCAATGTCAGTGAATTGGTGCAAATTACCAGTAGATGGTGTAGAAACACCAATGTCTACTTATGTGTGTAATTCAATTGAGTGGATTGGGAAGATGTGTTTAAAATTATTTTTTCTTAACTTTTCTATATAGGTGAATAAAAGAAAGAATAGTTAAGCAAGTATGTTTAATAAAGACTAAACATTATTCACTTCTTATTTAGTAGACACATGAAAAAATGCTTATACAAGCTATATATTTAAAATCCTGTTCACAATTCCTATAAGATTTTTTTTCTCCTCATGGTAGAACAATCCAAGGAACATAATAGTAAAATACATAACAATATCCAAATAGAGTTAAGTTGTAAGGCATAATAAATCTGACTTTTCTACTTAGCTTACAACGATCATAATAGAAGGTATAGATCCGTGGCATGTGCCTTGCATTGAGTCCCAAACACAAGAAGGCATCTCTTTTGATCATAAAATGTTTTACTACCCAAAAGTTCAATGGAAAGGATGTGAGTAACGATGGGAGTGTCATATGAAAATTATGTTTTTTCTGTCAAATACAGAACACTTAAAGTCTGAGTCATAATAATAGTAGTGATCAGTCCTATTCATGACTCCCGTGTTTTCAAATGCAAATAAACAAGCGGTGTGATCTTTTCCAATGAAGACTACTAGATGAGGCATGATGATATCTTTTTAGGATAATAACATGGCACCGATATGTTTGAAATTCGACAAAAGGAGCTCTTTCCACCCTTAGACTCTCTTCCAAATATCTCCTTTCCCAAACCAATGTGACTAAAATGCAAATAAAAACTCCAAATGACTCAAATATAACCTAAAATAGTTAGAGAGTAATACAACACAATGAGCTTGCACTTTGTTAACTACTTTCTCCTCTGAATTGTCATTTCTGCTTCATCAGACATTATTACCAGTCATTATCATAGATAGCAATGTGCGCTATGATAACTCTACGCCATCAAAGAAGAAAAACAGCTTACAGAAAACCACATAGACCACAACTTACAGTCCCAACCCTAAAAAATTCCATGTCACTTAATCTAATCTTTAAAATTTGTCTTCCTAAATCCTGATTTTGCTTAAACAAGCTCCTCAAAGTTTAAAATTACATATTGCCATACATCATAGCCTTCATTTTGCTATTTCATGTCATCTTTGCTTAAATTAGGCATGCTAAGGTAGTGCCAACAACAGTGGCCTAAAACCTCACATCATCCACATATTGGGGTTGGCCAAAGCGTGGTTTCAACATTACCTTCCCATAAGATATTTGGCTCTTCAAAACCGCTACTTGGTTTAAAAATGCATTATGTACCTAGTTAAACTAAACCTTGGGTTGGGGACAAAAGGTTGCAGTCCTTAAGCAACTCTAAACCAGCATAGCAAAGAATAACTTTCTAAGTAACCTGAACCTGCAATAGAGTTGACACCGACTCAACATAATTCTATATGAACTGGCAGGAGTTCAACTTTTACATAACACAAAATAAATAGAAAAATTGTCCATTTCTAATTGTAATGCATTTTCATCAACTACCCTGATAAATTCAACTAATAATAAGCAACCTAATTAATAATTCATTCACCAAGATCAATAATATATGTAATATTATGAATATTAATTGCTCAATAACTAAGTTAATACTGTCTAACATAGTTAAAAGTTTCTTTCCCTACCAAATCAGCAAGAATATATTGTAATTGTATGAAATTTCAGATATTTTACATTGCATTCGGTTCGTTTCCCCAATAATCAGTTGAAATAACCTTTAGACGTTAAAACCCTTTTATATAGCACAACATTGGTACAGTTGTGGAGTGCTTATATGAGCCAAACATCAAAATGATTGAAACCTTAACCGTCTGAACGCTATGTACATAACAAAAATTACCATTTGAAGTATAAACTGATTAAAAACTTGAAGCCATCACTATTCTAGTCTTCATATTTTAATATCAGAAAAAGGAAGCACAATGCTACTATTTCTTCCTTTTTCTGACATCCAATGTTTACTGAAAACTTTAAACAGTCACCATTCTAATCCTCAAATTTTATTTCATAAGAGAAAGAAAAATTGCTGCTATATTTCATCCTTTTCATTTAGTGCTTGTATAAATTTAGCAGGGAGCAAAGCCAGGCTTTATCAAGCTTATCTCCAAATTGCTGCTTTGCTAAACATCATATATTGTTCGATTGTCCTCCACCATGAAAGAATCAGTCAAATAATAATTATTTTTTCTTCAACAAATTCTGCTTTAATCCCTCCATTGTTTCATAATAATTACAAAAAGATGATACCTTCTAATTAAAAAAAAAAAGGAAGACGAGCTTACTAGAGGGGGAGGCGGTTCAAAAGAAACATCATCAAGGTATGGATAAGAATCCTTATTTGCAATTGCTTCAAATAAGGTCATCATTGCAGTAATCTGTCTATCATTAGATTTAGCATCACCTTCAAGTTCCTCTACTTTTTTCTTTGACATCTTAGCTTCCCACTCTATCTTTTCCAAGGCAGCCTGTTTGTCCGCAAGTTTGATCTGTTGAATAAAAGTAAAATTGAAAGGTTTCTTGTGGCAATAAATGGACAGCAAGAATAAAGGTGCTTGCTATCAAAAAGCCAAAGCTCATAAAAGTTACCAATAGAAGATTAGATTTAGAAGTTGCATTTCACATTATGATTGTGAATTAACAAAAAAAATTAATAATGCAGTTACAACACATTGTTTTTTGGTTTTAACATTCAGTCAAAAGAAGATTTGGAAGAAATTTTCCCGAACATCCAAAAATCAATAAATCACTAGATCAATCAACGCGCTAAATTCTAAACTAATAATTCACCATTTATAAGAAGATGCACTAATTAAGTCTATTTAAAAAAAATGAAGAATCAATTATGGGTAAATTATCACTAATATAGGAGAAACATCAAAACAAACCTTCCTTGAAAGCCTTAAAATTGCATGCTTGCACCTTCAGTACTATTAAAGACAAGGATATCTACAGTTGAATGCATACCTTAGCATTATATAACTGCGCATTGGTAGATTTGATCAATGCATCCTTCTCAACAACTTGGCGTCTCAAATCACCTACTGACGCATAAGTTTCATTTACTTGATTGGTTAAATTCTCAGCAGATTTTAGGGCTTCCTCCTTCTCTATTAACTTTTTCTGTAGTTCAGCAACTTGATCACGTAAAAAAAGAAGCTCATTCAAATCATTTTGGACACTTTCTTCAGCATCCCTCGTTTTCTTTATAGAATCAGTCTGAGCAACTTTTTTGCTTTTGTAATCAGAAGCCTGCTGTAAAATGGTACTTAGGAGTAATAGAGACCACACATGCTCTCAAAATTTAATTTTGAAAGCCTATATAAAACTAAACCAAATCCTTACATAAAACTATCCTAGTAATAAAAACCACTTATGTCCAGTAGACAACTAGAAAAGAACGCAAACCAGTAAAAGTGCTTATTAAAAATCTCTCTAATAAGCCTAACCAAAAGGAAATTTTTAGATAGATGAGGTCATTTTCATGTAGAAAGAAGCCAAAAGAAAATTTAAACAATCTACTCACAATAACAATCACAACTAGAAACATCAATTTATCCTGCTTTCTGAATGGTCCATAGATCCAGTAAACGCCAATAAGACCATCTCAATCAAATATTTTTGCTTCATAAGAAAATATTCAAATATTATTTCCCTTTCTAGCATGAACAGTCTACATAATTTTAACAAGCATAAACTAGGTTTTTCATGGTAAGAATTTTGCAGAGGCAGCACTGCATGATTTCGAATTACATATCTCAGTGTCCATGACTTGAGAAGAATCTACCTATTAAATATAATCCCTAAAAAATTAGGTAAATCATAGATAAATATCTCGAAATTGGAAAGACCGTCTACTTGACAGTAAAAGTGTGACGAGATTGTTACAATTAGATCTAAAAGTTACTACTCATTTGCCCTAAAATCAATGAGGAGAAGAAAACTTAACAATCAAAGAGCTCTGACCCTTTTCAGCTGAGGAGCGCGTGTGTGCACAATCGAAGCTCGCCGCGCAAAAGACGAACTCGCCCTCTTATCCTATAATCCAAAAAACATAACATAAGGCCAGATCGATTCTCGCAATGGAAGTATCATCACAAATTATTCAAGCAAGACACCTACCATGAGTGATTCAACGAGAGGAACCATTTCAACCAGGTTTTTGAAAAGAACCCTATCCACATTGCTGCCAGAGCCGCCGTTCCCAGTGGATGTGGAAACCGTAGGGAGATCTCTCTCGGCGAGGCATCGCTGGGGGTCCTCCATCGAAGTAATACTGGCAACTGGCAAGAGGAGGATCAGAGATTGGCGAGCTACTGACGGAGACTGTAGCAGAATAGAATCAATCGAGTGTTGACAGAAGGAAGGTAAAGAAACTTGTAACGGGTCGAACAGTACACACCGGTTATATTTTTAAATTTCCTTCAAGCCGGCTAAGCCGGCAAGTTTTTTTATTTATTTTTTTATTTTTATAATAATGAGCATTGTAATTTTTTTTTGGGTAAAAGCATTGTAATTTCAAAATAATAATATTATACTTTTGCATTCTAATTTGCATATTATTAGGCTTATCATATTTAATAGGATGATAAATATTTTCAGCAAAACATAAATCATTTAGGAAAAATTACTTAAGGCTCTGTTTGTGATGACTTTTTTATTATTTTTTAAATTAATTTTTTTTTTTAAGATTTAAAAATTTTCTACTAAAATTTTGCTTTGAGAAGCAATAAGAAAGTTATTACAAACACAGCCTAAATTACATAGCATGGCTGCTTCCATAGTTTATCAATAATGAAAAAATGAACAAATTGTTTTGAAATGAATACATATTATAGTGCTAAAATTTTGACTCTTTTGAGGAACATCATAGGCTTCATTTGGGATGAGTTTTATAATTTTAGTTTTCAGACAGCAACAATAGTATGTGTTTGACTATTATTATTTCACGACTTTCAAGAATTTTTTTATTAGAAAGTTATTTTTAATAACAGCTTTAAAAATAATTACTTTCCTCTGACCAATTTTATAATTATCTTTATAAAAAATTGTAGCTATCTCATACAGATAGGACTGCCAATATTTGACACGACATGAAAATCCGACTCGGAAAATCCGGGTTGGACCCAACCCGATTTCAAAACGGGTTGGGTTCGGGTTCGCAGATTCAACCCGTTTGAAAGGGGTCGGGTTCGAGTTGACCCGACGGGTTGCCGGGTCAACCTGGAAACCTGTTTAAAATGATTGCCCGCAGAGCTTCCCGCTCAGGCGCCCACTGCCCCGCGGCTGCCCGTGCACCCGCGTGCGTGAGTTCGTGCCCGCGCAGGCGCGCTACAGTGCACCCGACCATGCACCTAGCCAGCCACGCACCCGCGCGCCCGCGCACCGGCCACGTCCCGCGTCCGTCTCCTTCCCGTATCAGGTCGGGTCCGGGTTCAAATATTCGACACGTTTACCTACCGGGTCAGGTTAGGGTCAACACGATTGAACCCGGATCAGTTTCGGGTTTGACCTGAACCCGACCCGTGACCCGTAATTGACACCCCTACATACAAACTCATAGGCTTCGTTTGGAATGACTTTCTTACTGCTTCTTAAGGTAGCTTTCTAGTAAAAAAAATAAAAAATTTGTACAAAAAAGATGCTTTAAGATGAAATAAAAAAGTCATACCAAACGAAGCCTTAGTTGTACACTTATTAGCACCTCTTTAATAAATGAATCAACTAAATAAACATAAATAAATTCGTCACAACTAACGCGGTGGAAAAATCCTCAAAATCTAAATTCACTCACACTATAATGCAC